AAACGATTTTCATTAGAGACTAAAAATAAGTTTACAAAAGGCTTAGTAATGGTTTTAGAAATTGTATATTTAACTTTTAAGGGCAAGTTTAATGTTCAAGAATAAATGTTCATTAATAACTATTGCAAATATTTCAAGTTGTTTTATTTATTTTAGACATAACATTAATAATGTGATATATATTTTTATGTTGCATTACTTACTTTAATTCGGATTTTTTAAACGTTTAGTTCCTTAATTACTATAAATTATCATCAATAGAGCAATCTATGTTTTATGTACAACTCCCATTTATTTTTACATATATTAAATGTATGTTAACAAGTCTTTACAAAACTCATCTCAAGTTTTTGCAGCCCAATTGGACTAATGTAGTCGAGATAATTTGAATTTCCGGTGCAATAAATTGCCATACTTAAGAACCTAGTGATACCGTAAAAGATTTCAGTTAGCCCAACTTAACCAGAAAACCAACATGGTTCGCTTCCATATACCCGGCTCATTATAGTTAACCGCACATTAATGAAATCTCCTAAGAGAGACGCTTGTGTGTACGGCTGATTATATGTGTGCTGGGAGGAAAACAGCTGAAATTTATATGCCACAAGATGCACACACAATGAAGGAGTGGAGATAATCTGAAGCCGTGGGAAGTCGACTGAAGACGATGCCGATGCCGATGACTTGTCCTCTCCACTCAAAGACCCCCTCCAGCAGATCCCGCGGCGGCGACGTACTCTGATTGATTTGAATAAACGCGCGCATATTTATCAAATTAGCCACAAGCACCGCACAGCGAGACATATCGTTCTGGCCAAGTTGTAGATGGGGGAACTACGCATATGTATACACACATACACTCAAAAAATAATTACTTCGAAATTTATAAATTAAAAAAAAATCAGAGAAATTAATTAATCTAACATTTTTATTTGTTGTATCAATACAAAACACTCTTACAAAGAAATTGTTTTGAAAATACTAAATAAAAGGTTTTTTAATGGTTTTTAACAAACAAAACCTTATTAGGTTAAAATAAAGATATTAGATATTCTTCTTTGGCAATGGACAAATAAAAGTTATTTATTTCCAATAAAATTATATACATATTAAAAAATTAAAATAAAATTTATTTCTGTCGAAAATGACATTAAACATATTGAGAGATTTAAAGCTAACTTATGGGTACAATTTTTGAGAGTGCATATAAGCATATATATGGCAGTTGCAGGGTTCAGTCCTTCGCACAAAGTGTCATCAACTAATCAAGGATGGGTGGTTGGTCGATGGGAGAATGGGTGGACCTTGTAGTCGGGCTTGGACAGATGAAATGAAGATGAATCTTTTGTGGTCAGTGAAGGCATAAATTCTATCAAAGCGGGGGAGACGCCACTCCAGCGGTGAAAAGTGAAAACGTCATAATAAATAGGCTTATCAAATTGATAAAATGTTCAACATTCTTGCCTTGATTTTGATTTAAATGCCATGCCATAAATCAATAAATAAATGAATAAATATTACATCTATTGTTCGCAGCGGTGGCGGCGATAATAAATAATATCCACCGAAGCAAACTCTTTCAGCGATTCCGCGCTGTCCATTAGCGCGGGGCATAAATAAACAACCATTGTCCGGCATCTGAAGCCATTAACTGGCTTTGTTTAGTCGTGGAAATAATAATAATAAAATGGCCTTAGCTCGCTCTTTTAACTCGCACGCTATCTACTGACAGAAATTTTAATATTTACTTAGCGCCTTTTTAATACATTTTCTTAGATTTTACTTTCCAAAGGCTGGCACTGGGTTTAATAAAAACTTGGATAAGTATAAAAGTGTAAAGGCGGAAAATAAGACGTACACCAACACAAGGGTTAAGTTAAAGGGGTGGGGTAGAGAGACGCCCAGAGTTGGCCCATAATTTTGAATAATTTTGTTATTTATATCCTTTTTTTGGCCAAGACACAGCAGCCACAAAGGAAAGAAAACAATAAAAAGAGGCCCCTGGGACTGAGAGAGGGGGTGAGTGCCTTTGATGGGCATTGCATTATATTTTCATTAAAACCCATAATATTTAATGGTCTTTTAGGGGAACTTAACTTTTAAGGAAATTTCCATCTAATTAAACAGGGCAAATTAATACATAAATACCATTTTTTATAAAGTAAACAGGAGTATACCCCTTAACAAACACAAAAAGTCTCCTAGAACAATGAAAATAATGCAAAATAATTGTTTAGTGCTGAGTAAAAACTAAAGAATACTAACGAAAAACGTAATGTAAAGTTATGCTGACGAAACAATAAATGAGGTCACGGCGTATACGTAATGCCAATAAAACGTATTACACACAGAGAGGGAACTACAAATGGAATAAAGGAAATACCAAAAATGCCGTTTTATTGAAATTTATGGCTAAAGTTTTCGCCCACTTTCCTCTTCTCGCCATTTCCTGCAATCCACATATTTCAATTAGTTTCAATTTGGCTAAAAAGCCGCATACACATACATACCAACTAACAGGGTTTCAATTGTAGAATCAATTTTTGATCGCCACAAAGACTGGATAAATGGGGATTGTTATGTAGGCTCTTAAAAACTATAATAAAAACAATAATCGAATATTACGCATTCGCATCAAAAGGCCACCCCTTTGTTTATCCAGCTAGAACTGAAAATATTTATAAAATGCACGTATGTGAGTACGTAGATATATATATATATATATATGTATATATATATATATATCTATGAACCAGTCCAACATCCGTTGAGCGTTCGACGACGGTCAGCTGCATTGGCCATTGAAACGGAAATGAGAACTCAACGCAGCGGAAATTTAATAACGACCAACAATTTAGCCATCGAAATGGGAATGAAGGGAGAATGCCAGAAGATCGTTCACACAGGACGAGAAGGACATATTTATGCGGCCATTTTGACTGACCGCATCCAGTATCCAGCATCCACCATCCAAACCATCTGCGACCACGCCCTCCAATTGTTGTCCATTGACAAATGACCATTTCATATGTGAAATGGCAATTCAATTGATTTCTCTGCGCCAAACCGTTTGCAATTGAAATGAAAATAGTTCGAATATGTTTCAGCCATCGGCCGCTGCCCATTTCCCACACGGTGCCCCAATAATGAGAAGTATTTCATAAAGCCCTAGAACCGGCCACATAAATTGCTTCATGTTTGGGGCGAGAAAAACTGACAACAAATGTCAATAACATTGACTGGGGTGCGGAGGGATGTGGTTTGAACCAGAATGGCAACTTTGTAATGGAATTTATTGCCTAGAACGGTTCAAGTATGTCAACGGGCATAATAATAAATTTTATAGTTTAATTTGACGTGGCGCTCAGGCTTGATGATAGGCCAAAGATTAAATCGTCTTTGAAATTGGTTTTCTATTAATTAATACAAAGTGAAGAGTGAGGAGAACAACAAAAGAAAAGAATTATTATTTGTTAATTAGGTAATCTTTCGTCAGAGATACCAGAGAAATGAATGTGTTTTTATTTAAACTTTTTTAACCTCCTCCTACACTAAGAAAAAATTATATATAAATACCAGTTATTATTATTGTGTAACAGATTTATTTTGAGATAATTTATAGAATCATATTTTAATATTAAAAAAATTTCATACAACTTCTTTTACAAATGTAATTTAGTCACACGATTTTCAGAAATTATTTCAATACAATAATTTGAGACTTTTCAGAATATCTAATAAATGTAATATTTATAAATTGTGTTTCTCAAGTTTTTGTTTTATTTTGTACATTATTATTAAAAAATAAAAATCTGGAAGGAAAATCTTTATATTCAGAATCTTTTTGTTCCTAGTAAAAATAATCCAAAAAAAAAAGTCGTCCTCACATCAACGCACATAATAAATGGCTCGTTTATCAACAAAAACGCATCGGAGGCAGGAAATTTCCTATGAAATTAATTTCCCTAATCAACAGTCGAGCAAGTCACCCAGTTGACTTTTTCTGAAAGCGAACTCATGTCAGGACCTTGTCAACCTTCCCCGAGTGTCACTCCTTCCTGTCCTTCCAATCAAGTTTATTAAATGCCTGCTGCCTGGGCTCAATTATCTTCTTGACAATTTTTTTTTTTCAAAGCAGCTGTGCTTTATAATTTATCCAGCTCAGTCGCTGATATGTGGAGGACTTGCCGTGATGACTGGCAGCTGTGTTTGTCAGATAACAAAAGAGCTCAAGACTGGGCCATCCTTTCGGTATTGTTCATTTCTTTGGCAGAGATTCGGGCGCAGAGATATTTCCATGAGGATTCTCGGAAAATTAAGTTATGCAGATGAGAGCTGTTAGAAAAGTGTTGGCATAACTTGTTAATAAAAATATGAAAAATGAAGACCCAAACTTGATTTAATTTTCGCCGAGCAATTACAATTCAGACGAAGCCAAATTCCCAACTCGTTGACTGGTGCCGGCAATTCCATTTGGCCAAAGCTTAAGCCAAAAAGTAAATTTTCCATTATTTTCTTTAATTTAAACGAACCCACAGTCGTTTGGTTTGTCCCTCCCATTCTGTCCCTATTCACACGGGACCACAATATAAAGAACATTTGCATAACAAAAGGCTTCTCCAGTTGCTGCACAATGCAAACATTGCTAAGTCGATTCTTAATTTTCAATTAAAATCCAATTTATATATAGACAAAGCGTCAAAAAAGAGGTTTATCTCCCACACTTTTTGTTAAATGAATTATAATTTGGGCAAGGAGTTTAATATGATTGAGACTTTCAATGCTGAATAAGAAATTTGTTCCTAGAACTCAAGCTGCTTATCTCGAATAAAACTTTTATAAAAAGTTTACTTCGGTAAAGTGTTAAAATTAAAAAATTATTTGTTTGAATATTTTACAAAAATTTCTTTAGCAATGTTTGCAATATTTGTAGTGGTTTTATAACTATAAATCAACAAATAACAAACATATGACAATTTTTTCTGTTTATTGGGTAAATTTTGAAAATTATCCGAATTTTAAGTAAGCAAGAGATACAGATTTGTAGTGATAAAATATTTTACAAAACCAGTAGTTCGAAAATACTTATTTTGTGTCAGGTACAAAAATATAAAGAAGAATATATTTACAACTCAGAATATTATTAACTGCTGTCTACCGAGCAATTCATTCGCGTCTTCCTCTTGAATTCGAAGGATTGTACTACACCCAATCTGTCATTCCTTTTGATATAATATCGTTTGTGATCCAACCTTAAAGCCAGCAATCTCAGTGAATCTTCATCAGATAAATGCAGACTAAACAAAAAATTAACCATCGCCAAGTGAAATTTCTCTTCGATCTCGTTAATGTTATCCGAGAAATTTTGACAGGACCATTGAAATTCCAACATTCGATCTTTGTATTTATTGGAATCCAATGCATAATTTACCTGAACTTCTATCACAAAGTCAAGTAAAATTTGAGTGAGTCTGTAGAACTTTTGCTGCTGATAACCGAGTTTTAGTATGAAACTATACATTTTCTCTAGATATAGATTCGACTTGCAACGATTTTTGGTTTGAAAGGACCCTTGTTTAATAGTCTCCAGGTAGGTTCTATTCGCCTTCAATATATCTTCAAGGGTATCGGCCTGACTACAGGCTAACAGAAGACTTTCCAATGCTGGTTTTAATACATTACTAAGCAAATAATATTTTAGAACCTTCATTACACGTATAAAAATGTTGATTATCCTGACAAAACACAAGTTTGTTTCTTCAAGACCCTCGAAGGATTTGAAATCCATGCGATTTTGGAAATGCAACTGCTGCCGAAGTATTCTTTCGCTGAGCACATAGTTGACGTAATGGAATCTCCACAAGCCTGGAAAAATCTCATCATACTTCAAGGCATCCTCACCGAGAAGAGCTTTCCAGTGTCTTGGAAGTTTCCAACGAAGGACAAGAAGTGACCAACACTTGGATCCTCCGTTTTCAACTTTATCTATATAGATGTCCGGAATAGGGTTGTGTAACATTTGATCTTTCATTCGGTTCACAAGTTTAACATTAAAACAGTTGGCTGGTTCTTCAAGGATGGGTTCGAGGACTTCCAATAACTCCTTGGTAAACTTTAAGTCCGTAAGCATCAAGTATTTGTGGAGCTGGAAAAATATATCCTCGGGATTTAATTCGTTTTCCCGAAGATGACTGAGAACCGTATTAGATACTAATGAGTGCAGATCCTGGACAACTTCATAGAGTGTTTCCTGATCGCCGTACTTAAAAAACTTTTCAAATGCCTCTAGCAACGAGGACTGTAGTTTTTTGTGAATTATATTTAGTTCAATTTTAAGACCCAAGTACTTTTTTGAGAACGCCAAGGTCTTGCCCACACTAATTAGAGTTTCACTGAGATGATGGTCGAAAAACCTTGAGAAGGACTTTGTTAATCTATAGCGTTTCTGCCAGAAATCATCTATAGTCGATGTTAAACATCGTTCAATTAGAAACTCTTCGCAATCAAAAACTCTCAATTGTCCCCAATGAAGCCAGCGATAAAGCTTTTTTATCAATGGTTTACTAACCACTTTCAACCACTTAATCATCAAGTCTTTTTGTGAACCGACTCTTCGGCCTGATTCCTCGTACAGTGAAACAACAATAGACTTTTCATTCTGAACTTTTTGCAGAACATCTAAAAGCCACTGAAAGTGCACCTGGAATTGACGAGTTTTTCGGTGCAGAAAAAGAAGGCTGCTTGGTTTCTTTTTCCGTGAATCGTAGAATTGGTGGAAAATCAGGAGGTCCTTCTGCAGACATGATCGGAGAGCAGCAGCAGTCGCTCCCTTTTGATCAAGTATCACCAGCTGATCCTTTAAGGATTGATAAAGGTAGCCCAAGTGGCCAAGGCTCACCAGAAGATAGGACTCACTGATGCTCTCCTGATGCAGAGGCGAACGCAACTGCAGCAAGCCAGTTAAGGATGAGGCCTTTAAGTGAGGTGACTCATAACCAATCATTCCGTGGAGGGCATCAGTGAATCGAGATTCCGCCGACAGATCCTGATCACCTCTATCCCTGGATTTCCATCGCACTGATTCATAGGCACTTTTCTCTTCGCGAGTGAGCAGTTGTCCCAGTTTGAATTTTCCCACCGCATCCATCCAACCATAGTAACTAATGTCTCTGGGCATTTCCTTTCTAATGTTATCTATTATCAAGCTCACCCGAGATTCAATCGAGGGTCCATCGGAATCTTCAGCTAGGCCACTATTTTGTTGGCCCCTGATCTCAAAAAACTGATCCAATTGTTCATAGAAATCGGGAGCATTCGGGTCATGCGGAGACCACTCATAGGCGGGGTTCGATTTAAAGGTTTTGATTACAACACGAGGGGCTGCAATGACGTGCCGTTGATGCTGCCATTTGGGTAAAGGTGTTGTGAAACTTCTTTGTTCTTTATTAAATTGGATTTCATCAAAAGACGCCTCGAAATTGTCTGAACCATTCCAGTGTCCCTGATCTAAATTGAAGACTTCGTGAAAAAATGTATCCACTTTTTTTTTAAAGCTTTGCCGAGACTCACATTCCTGAGATATAGTTTTTGCTGAAGGTTCCTTTAAATCATCAGTAAAACTTAAGCTTTCAGGATCAAATCTATCCTTGTTAGTTACAAAGCTCAGCTTAGATAAAGTTTTTACAGAATTTACTTTCACATCCATTTTACCATCGCTCTTAACCAGTTTTTCATATTTCCTCTCTTTTAAACACAAACTTTCAAGAACAGGTTTATCAAGTATCTCAAAGTCCATTTTAACATCACTTTTTACTAGTTCTTTACGATTATCGATGCTTAAATTACTTTCATCAGCAAATGATAATGTGCCAGTACTCAAATTTTCCTCAGATGGATGTTTTAATAAAACATTGGATGCACTTCTTAAGCTCAATTCCGATAGTGATTTATCCACTTCTTTTAAAATGTTCAGCTTAACGTCACTTACCGTTCGTACAATTTGACTCAATATTGGTGAAAACATATCCTGTTCATCCTGTTCAGCGACGAATTCATTTACATTCCTTGGAGTTAGCTCAATACTCGGATCCTTCGACTTCAAATCCTCCGAATCATCACTGTAGGTCATATGCATTTTCAAAGTATCTATTTTGACTACATCTTTATGGTTTCTTTTCTTATCAAAACGTACTTTATCGGTATGATTCTTTCCTGTCACCTCGGATAAGGTCTTATCCACTTCCTTTAAAATGTGCAGCTTAACTTCACTGACCGTTTTCGATATTTGACTTATTATTGGTGAAAGTATTTCTTGATCGTCCGATTCATTTAACTTTTCTGGTGTTAAATTATTATTCAGATCATCTTTCACCAAACAGCATGTGTTTGAGGCAGCAAAGCTTAATCTATGTGAAGGTGATTTAATATCCTCTCGATCATCACTTTTGCTTATAAACATTTTTGGGGAATCGTTTTTAACCACATCTTTACGGTTTATTTCCTTTTTAATTAGAGCTTTAGTTTGATTTTTTCCTGATACATCGGACAAAGACCTATCCACTTCCTTCAAAACGAGCTGTTCAGTGACTCCAATTGTTTGAGTAATTGGACTTAATTTCGGTGAAAGCTTTTCCTGATCGTCCTGTTTAATACCAGATTTATTGAATTTTTTTTTTGAGGGATCCTTGGAAATATTAATTCTTGGAGAAGTCTTTTTTGGAGAATTTAAACGAAGCTCATCAGTAAATTTAGAATTTCGCCCATAATTTTTTTGCTCGCTTTTAACTTTATCCGTAGAGGGTTTTCTCAATAGAACATCAGAAGGTTTTGGTAAAGTAAATTCCAATGACTTATCAACTTTTTTTAAAAGGCTTAGCTTAATATCACTTACAGTTTGCCGCAGTTGAGTCATAATTTCCTCTTCTGAGGAATCCACTTCTTTCGGCGTCTTTTGAAGTCTTGAATTATTTTTCTGCGAGGTTCCTTTTTTGTTAGTATTATTTAGTGACCGGCTTTTCTCAGTAACAGATAATAATGAAAAGGATTTTAGGGTTTCCAAATCTTTTTTTTCTTCTACTTCAGTTATCCTTTGATGTGAATTTCTGTATTTAGCATATATCTCTTTAATCGTTTCCAAATGACTATGAGAATCTTGAGAATCGCAATTATTTTCAGATCCTTGACTAATTTTATGTCTGAAGGAAGTTAACGGTGAAATAGAACAATTATCACTTATGGGGATTTCAAATTCATCTTTAAGGGAACATTTTTCTGAATGACCGTTGGGAGTATCGAAACACACGGTACTCCTTATAGAAACATCTGTTTGAGATTCTGTGGGATCATAATTTACAGTGACACTCGCTGCAGATTCATCGGAAATGTTAAAATCGTAAAAAGTTTCATCCTCAGAAAGATTACTCAAATCGAGCTCAGGAATTTCAATAAAAACGTTCTCAGGAGCATATAAAGTATTGTTTTCAAAAGATTTCAGAGAAGCAGCTTCCTCATTGATCAAAGTTTTAATATCCTTAACTTTCCTATCCACCGGGATTAAATATCCATCCAGAAAATGTTCAGATGTCATTACGAGTTCATGTGTTCTTGTGTGACTAGTTAAATTAGCCAATCCATTCGCAAATCTCAAATCACTTGAGGCCTTCTTTTTGGAAAGACTTTTATAATCATCAAAACTATTCGATACTGCTATAGAAATATTATTAACAGCAGTAAGATCATCGGAAATATATTCATAAATATCCACAGCAAGGCTCCCCAAATTGTAAATTGGAATTTCCTCAGGAGCATTTAAAAAATTATTTTCAGTATCATTCTGGGAACTGACTTCAAATTTGACCTGTTCTTTTTCTGAACGGTTATTAGAGTTATTTTCATTGGCAGTCAATTCATCAAGAAAACCTGTGGGATTTCGTGGAGCTTGCTCGGACGTCATTAATTGATCAGTAATCACAGAGATACCCTTTTCGAATCTAAAACCCCTTGAAACGCACATGCTTATTGCATTGCCAACCTCAATCCAGTAGTAACCTTCAATTTTCATTTCGGTGATCGCTTCATTTGTTTTAGAGATCCTTTGGTCAGGCTTCAATTCTTTCACTGGATTCTTTATTCCAAAACCTTCCATTGAATCTACATTTTTCATTTTAATGCATTCCAGATACATATTAATTAGAGAGTCCGAGGATCTTAAGTCAAGGTCTGAAGATGTCCGGGTATTTCCATCAAGACGATGTAGTATGTTTTGAACCTGAGCATATAAACCATCGATAAGTTCCAAGCGATAACTAAAGGACTTTTCCCGACCCTTAAGTTTTGGTTGCCCGGAATCGAAGAGTTCATAGCAGAGCTTTAGGTACCCATATCGCTTTTCCTCATCCAGCTCTATATCCACCAATTCCTTGTAGAGACGAATGAAAAGATCACCCCTTGTTTCGTGAAGTGTCATTTCCTCGATATCCGTTCCCTTCTGCAGTTGTTCAAATTGAATTCGAAAATCATTGAGCAAGACCAGTTCGAATGAGTTGCTCGAAGGCGTATTGTGTTCCTTTATGAATTCCACTGATTTGGCCACATTGTGGTTGAAGTTGCCAAGGCTAACGCTCAGTTCCAAGATGCCCATGAATAGATCATAGCCCTCGTGTTCGTCATCATCGGAGGCAGGTTGTTCAAACGATTTGTTTACCTTCGTGGATATTGGGATTGTGGATGTGAGTACATTGTCCATTTTCTTTGTTTTATTTTGGAATTCAGTTATACTAACTATACAGATCAGATAGTTCTCTGGACCAAATATCTCTTACCATTAAAGAAATATAATGTTTTTGCACATTTTTATTTTACAAATTTTCTGATAAATTTCTAAAATTTGTTCAACTCTCCTGACTAACTACGTTTCCAGTGCTACATATGTGTGTAATCTAACGAATGAGATTTCAGTTTCGCTCCGTTTCAGTTTTGAACATCCACAGCAACGTTCACAATAATTAACCCATAAATCTGTCACTAGATTGTCGACAAGTGGAAAAACTAAGCCAAGCTATTCAGCAAAAATTGCGATGCCCGTGCACCTTTTGCTGGAGTAGAAGCAGCCGCAACCTTTGCAACCTTTCGCAACTCCCTGCCAACTTTTCATTCATTACATAGCTCTCAACGCGCCGCGAATCTCGAGTGTTTGTGGGTGGGTAGTGGATGGTAGGTGCTGGAAATGTATGACGCCACTTTTAACCTCAGACCGTAAAAAGTTGGGCTGCAGCAAAAGGAAACTATGCAAAGATAAGTGAAAAAGATTATATATGCATTGTACTAAAATTTACCGCCGACATGAGTGAAGCAGTTGAGCGAGTTAGCGCGGCGAACAGCCGAAATTCCCTTGCACAAAATGGCACGAAATTTACGTGCAGGCAAGTCAAACGTAACGCAACCGGAAGCGGAAAGAGCCATTTAAAAAGGGGCGAGGCAGAATAAAAAATTGTCTAAAAGAACTCCGTTTTTGGCAACAGGCCGCTCTCATCCTGGCCGGAATTTCAAACGACAAAGGCAACAGGCTTTCGGGTCAAGCGAAGAACATTCATTTTGCATATTCGTGTGAAGAAAATTGGTTGCAGAAAACCTGACAGCCGGCAACTTTATAAAGTGATTTTCGTGAATAATGCCAGAACTGTTGCTTGGAAATCTGAAACGAATGTAGAATTAAATTGGGCTTGGAAAAAACTGAAAGGTTTAAGAAAAGGAGTATATATCTTCAAGGAGGTAAAAATAATACGACTAAAAACATTTAAATTTCGAACGTTTAAACTTCTCTAACTTGGAAATTTGTCGTAACCGAATGAATTGGGGCTCCATTTTTTACTTTTAAAGAATTTTTATAATTTTAATAGTCTTGCTCAAAGGGGTAATATCCCTTGAGTCGTTTGGGTTAAAGGTCGTCACATTAAAATTCAACTGGGAGTGATGCTACGATTGAGTCTTTAATTATATTTTGGGGAGATTTTGTATTACTTTAATGCTGTTTCTAAAATTTTGCACAAAAGCTCCCCGAACCCCTGTTTTTGAGAAAATATCTTACCCAGTTTCCACATTTACAATTAACTTTAGGCATTTCAAAGAAGTAATACTCTGAAAGTTTGTGGTTTAATTCCCTATTGATCTGCGTTACAATTTTCCGTATTATTTTTAAATTTTTGAGCTACCCCTTTTTCCTCTTAATATTTTACATAATATCCATCCGCATCATTGACCCACCAAATATACAATAAAGGAATCATACGCTATTCGATTTCATCTCCCGCCCACTTTTTGTCCATCGCAGAATTGGCTGTCTTATTTCATCCCACAAATTCAATGGACAGAGCACAATGGATTCGGGCTGCCTAACAAACCCAACTTGCCCGACTGCAAGCTTTAACCAGGGACTCACTTATGTTGTAGTTACCGATTCATGTGCATGTTGAACAAACGACTTCACTGAACAATGCAAATAATTGTCAAACTTAGCTGGGCACAAAGGAAGTCAGCTGTAGACGAAGCAGCAAAAAACTAAAGCCAACCCCTTGCAATGAAGGAAAGCATATGATTTTTATAGCTCTGCCAGGAGGCATTGTGCGAATTTGTTGGAAATCACAAGAGAATGTACTGAGAGAAAATTAGGCATATCAAATGAAACGATAATTACAAAGTTAGTATATTAGAAGTATTTATTAAAAGTCAAATTACTAATTCATTATTTATTCTTATCTCATTTATGTGAAATATTAATCTTTAATATCTATTCATTTAAAGGTATGCAGCATCCAATTCCATTGGTTTTCTTAATTTAGACCTTCAGACGTATAAATATTATAAGTAAATTCTAAACATTTCATTCTAATGAACTTTGGAAAAACAATTGCTTAGATAAAATCATAATTACCACTCAGCTTGATTTAATTAGAAGGGAATGTATTAATGAATACGGCTTCGCTCATTATCCAGTTTATTAGTTTACATTTTGCCGAATAAATGTTAGCATATAAGAGTTGTTTTTTTTAATTAATGGATTATATTTAATGATAATAGATAAAAGAAAAGTATCATATGTTATATTTAAGAACTATATACTTCTCAGTGTTAAAAATCGTAATACTGCAAGGGGAATGAGAAGAAGCTCTGCTGATTGTCTCCGAGAATCCGAAATGGCGGAGGTAAAGTCGGGTGGAAGGCATTCAAACGTGCTAAGCGGCGCTTTAATCGCGCACAAACACGGATTTGGGAATGGGAAAAGTGCAGGACAAATCGACAAGTGCCACAAGTAGAATCCAGACAAGATTCAGCGACAGAAAAAAAGGTGCACATTGTTAGCCCTTCGTCGTCCCCTGTCATTGGCTTTTCACATTTCAATGAGCCCGGGCTTCCAGCCGGAGTCACTGCCACCATTCCGGCGAACAATGAAAGTCAATAAATTTGATTTGACATTTCCTTAAGAGACGCCCCACAGTTTTTTTGCGCTGATTTGGCACATTTTCCCCCGATTGTTTGTCGCCAAGCTGCAATTGTAATTTTATTATTATGCCTGACAAAATGTCACACATTCTGTTTTTTAATGATCTGGGCGTTCTGTGAACCATGTTCTTATCAATTGGTACAGCGGAATGAGTGTCTCGGTTGTGAATCATTTAACTGGTACTTAAAGCTTCTCACATTAAGTTAGTTGTTAGATATTTGGAAGGACGATTTCCACTTTCATTATGAATATACCTTAAAATTGATTTTGGAGTGTAAATGTATTAGCTTACTCAGAGGGACTCCCTATAGACCTAGGCTCCTTGGACGCCAACTAATATCGAACAGCACACCACAGAAAATTAATCATAGATTTCTGGCTTTGGCCGGTGTGCGTTCAAAATTTATGCATTGCAGCAAATTTTGCGATAATTGAGACTGGAAACTGCAATTGCAAATTAGCTAATGCAGAACCAGGAAATTAATTTACAGCTACTAGCAAGTTTTGATGGCCCAACATCTCAGGGTATCTTCGTTGGTTCAGCTTGTATTTACCGAGGACATGTTTGAGTGAGCTTAAAGAATCAAAACACCGGCTTAGAAGCCTAATTCTAATTAAAATCATACAAAAGGCGAGGAGAACTTGGGGCAAATTAGAGAAGCATAAAGACAAGAGGTCCAGCAATTACGTGACACACTTTAAGCGTCATTTTATGGCAGACATTGAGAGCCACCTCATATCGTATGTTTATGGCATAAGCTGCTGCTTAAATGGAACGCATCCTCGTGCATCCTTCCTAATCCTTTTCGGTTCGTCCTCGCACTCAGACATTTGCCCGGCACATACAAAATTTAAAACGTTCTCCGTCTGTCGCTTGTAATTACATTGTAATTGCAACTGGATGTCATCTTTCGTATTCTCTCCAGGTTGCAAGGAAATTTAATGCTTATTACATTTTGGTATTTAATGTGAGGGGACTACCGTTAATGGCAATGTGCACTAAGGGAATTAAACTGTCATTTTTGTTCAATATTCCACAGAAAAAAAAATTAAAATTGCTTAGCCTGAGCCCAAGAAAATGTAAAGCCTAAACGAGTAATAACAAAATGAGAAATTCAGGAAAACGCATGCTTTCGTATTAGTACTAAATAAACCCTCAAGGGTATTTAAACTTTGTTGCATTCAATTGACAAACTGCCTTTGATGTTTAGCTTATTTTGAACTATAATAGCACCAGCATTCGAGATTAGGCTTATTAGTAGACCTAAGGACATTATTCTTCAATACAATTTAAGCATTTAGCCTAACGGCAAATTGCATAAAATTAAATTGCAATTTACTCAAGAGCCTAACTGTTCAAATGTAGAACAAGCATACAAACATTTAAAGTTTGTTTTGTTTTGTGGCCAACTGAGTTATTATGACGTTGTTTGGCATTCGAGTGCGGGCTAAATATGTGAAAATTGTGTGCTCATTTGTGGTTAATTAAATGCATATATTGAAGTTGAAATATCCGGGATTTGTGACCTAATATCGTTTAATTGGCGTATGATAGGCTAAGGCTATGGCTTAGAAATCGACATATCTATATGGGAAAAGTCACACTATGCGTTTAACACTTCACAATTCTGTGGGCAACTCCGTTTGCCACCCACTTTAGATTAAAATTCCCCGGGCGACGGCAACTCTTTCATTTCTTTGGCCACGCAGCAAATTAAAAAATTGTGCAACAATTGAAAGCACTCAAAAAGCAGGGAGCATCAGCAGAAAAAAGCTGAGAAATTGTCAAGAAAATGCAGCGATGTTCATGCCACTTACAGAGCGCTGGACTAGAGCAGCCAAGACAACGTACGAAGTGCGACAAGAAATTAGAAAAGGAAACCAAGAGCACCTTGTCATTAGATCTCTCGACTATGCGATACCTATTTCTCAACACAATCTAACAAAATTTACTACAGAAATTTATAAATCACTCCGAACCAAGATTTTATGATTACGATCTATATGATTGCTTCACCAATAAAATATGACCGTCAACAAATTTTTGAAGAAAAATTGTTAGTCGAGTCTATAAAGGTAATAACTTTTATGGTCCCATAAATACCCCTTCGTTAGTTTTATATTTTAACACTCAAAAAATTAATTTTTCGGGCGAAGTTTGGTTAATCAATTATCCCATTACTTTAATACGCGAATTCTTCAGTCGTTTCAAGGTAAAATAAACTCTAAAAAAATAATCCCAGGCGAAATAAAATCAGCTTATTCAAAAAAACCTCCAGGATGTTTTGTGGTTTCTATAAACTTTTGAACACATTCAACATACCCTCTTAATCCACAAGTACAGGGTACAGAGAAAAGGGAAAAATTGGAATAGAAAGCCAGGCGAGCAAATGCCAAGGAACACAATGAGATGAGCAAGCTGTCCTGGCTGGATGGAGGGGCGAAGGACCTGCAAGGTGCCAGGGGAAGAGGGTCTGGCAGGGGGGTATGGGACTAGGACTCCCGACCGGATCGGTGTCGGTGGCACGTGCAACACTTGCCACAGTAATTGATAGCACGCTAGAGTGATTCGTAGTGCAATTCAAGGCAGCTTTTGCCTTTTTGCACCGCTGCACGACAAATTTATTTGTTATATTTTCGTTTTACTTATTTCCATTGTTGTTTGTATGAGATTAGAGGCTGGTGCATCCTTTCAAGAAGCATTCAACTGACTGAATATCTACTACTCCTTTAAAAAGAATTTAGATTTAAAGCTTCTTCTTTTCAAACAAATTATCACTTATACTTCATGACACTATTTTAATTCGTTTTAGTAGTACATCATAAGATTATCACATTGCCAAGAGAAATATATCTTGACCGTGGCCGGAACAGTTTATGATGATGATGATGACGAGACACTGATTACGATCGGATCCGTTGTTGTGTGCACAATCAAGTGCGCATGAATAATTCCCCTCCGCAAGCAAATCCGCTATGAATTACACACACTTACGCCAACATTCCACATCCAGCATCCTACTACTTTGGCTTTTGGTATACTTTTTCTTTCATTTTTTATGACTGCATGCTGGGATGGAGGAAAGCTGGATGTGATTTACCGTCAACATCTTGGCAATGGAAATCATCAAAAGACCAGTAAGACTAGAAAAAATACTCTAAAAAATTTTTAAAAACTATGATTTTTTTATATACGCAAGGAATAATAACACTTGCTTCAATATAGTTTTGTTAATGACTGTACCGCCAAAAAGTAGGGACAAAAATATTCGAATTTTTTCGAAACAAAAAATACATACTTTAAAATTCATGCAAATATAAATTGCATTCTGAGATAATTCGGATTTGATTTAAATGCAATTCTCCATAAAGTTTAAATTTCAACTTTCTTTCAAATAAGTTATTTCTTATATTTTACATATTTATCTTTAGTTTTTGATTGTAATTTAACGCTTAAATTGCTACTTTTGGTACAGAGTATTTTTTATAAACATGAATTAATTTAATTTTCCATTTTTTTTATTAAATTATTTGTAATAGATGTCTCAGTGTAAGAACATGACAAACCATTGTCTTTGCGTTCGGAGTGCACAAATCTATTTTAATATTTTCTTATTTGCCACTGACATTTAGGAAAAAATCACATAAATTGCTGCACACAGCCTTTTTGCCTTCGATGGTGGAAGGGGAGGGGGAAGGGGAAGGGGATTGGGATTTGAGCTACGGGGTGGAAATGTCGACTACCTTAGGAGTTCCTTGATGGAATTTACCCGGGGAGTACAACGCCACTAAAAAGATTTTTTCCTCTACTATTATTCCCACGTACTTAAATTTTTTTTCGTCCTGTCAGAGCTTTCATATTCACACACACACACTCTCACACACATATTCGCAAGAATATAACAACGACGATGACGTCGACTGAGAGTTATGCAGAGATATAAAGCAATTTTCTACGTAAATACTTTGTAATGGATTTAGTAAGTAGTAAAGTATGACGCGTTTGCCATCTAGAGCATGTCGGCATATATCTATCTGTACATATGTGTGTGTGTGAGTGTGTGTGTGCCCAAAGCTCTGGCTGCCATGTTTGATATTGTAAATCTCAGCATATATATTTTTGCGCATCATATAATTGATGAAAAAGTATTACAGCGATTTTCAGCGGCATTTTGTTGTTGCATACTTATGTGCGCAGACAGTAATGTCTTCGTGTGTGCCTTCAACATATAGCCTTAGTAAATGGAGCGTAGTGAGTGAATTATATTTAATGCTTTGTGTAATTTAAATATAATAAAACGTCGTACATCTTTTTCTCTTCTTTCGTTTTTTTTTTGTTCTGACAGCCAGAAATAAGTACAAAGTATGCAAACACACAGCCAGTCAGACAAATAATAATTTTACATACTTTGGCAGACATATAACGCAGTCGTAAAATGTATTATGCTCATGCTTTTCCACACAGTTGAGTGTGTTGCGGCAAAGAATATGTCATAATTTTTAAGTGCCGTATATACGGTAAGCCGTGCGTATATATATATATGGGTATTTTATTTGCAATGGTTGGCAAGTAAGTGATAAACAACTTAAAATAAAATGTCTTTATAATTATTTAAGCCGCATATATCTAACGATTTTTGATCTTTGCTATATCCAAAATTTAAGGAGCAGGAAATTACGAGTTCTGAAAGAATAATTTCTTCAATAAACAAGAGTTTTGATATAATTGAATTTAAATATAAAAGAAACGTACTTTGTAGTTAGTTTCAGTTGCAATATATTGCAAGCCTTTTGTGCACAATTTTAAGGATTGCCTTCTCAATGAATTCTTTTTATTTTATTCCCCATTTCATTTGCGCTCGAAAATACAACAATGAATGACAAGGCCCCACAACAATCGGTTAGCCAAAATTTGTTCACCTACAACTTGATTAAAAAACCACAATAACCCCCATACAATGCGAATAAAAAAGAGAAAATGGGGAAAAAACCATCAATGAGCATTCGATTGTGGATTGCGGGTTGCAAAACAGTTCCAGTTCCAATATGACGCCACCGACATGTTGTGACAAGGAGGTCAGCCACAGGGTAATTTAAATGAAATGAACAACAAATGCACTCGCAATCGCACTCGTAAAAGAAAAACAAAGCCAGAGCCACTCCACAGGCGACATGTGCCGCAAATGTTGGCCAAAAATAAATAGCTGCTGTAAATTCCATTGAGGAGCTGGGAGACATACAGTGACCAGAGGGAACCAGTTGGCCGGTTTGATTCCCAATGATTGGGGTGCCCAACAACAATGCGACAATTCGCCCCACATATTGCTCTTCAAATTGCTCATCGACTGTAATAAAAAGCGAAAAGAATTGGAAAAAAGGATGACGGGGTCAAGCTTTTATGGCGCTAACAAATTGCTTTTTATAACACAATTTGCGTTGAGAACCAAACAATAATACTCAACCATTTGTTTTTTTGGCAAGAAAAAGATTACCCGTTTTTTTTCTATCGAAGTGCATTTTAAAGGATACGGTCAAACATTTTAAAACATAAAACATATTTATCATAATAAAATCCACAAATATTTAAATTACTTTTTTAAATACAAAATAATACTAAATAAAGTAGGATATTGTTACCAGATTTACCATTATAAAATCCACAAAAAATTAAATACATTTTTTTCCATAACAAAGAATATCAAATCAGGCTTAACTTTATAAAAAATTAATATTAGGATAAGAGATTGTTTTCATATCAAAATGGAAAACGGAAATCTCAATTTTGTTCTTCGGGCACTTTTTTTAAGAGTGTACTATTATATTATGTTTTTCTTAATGTGAATTATAACTCAATAAAAATGTTTTGGTATATATCGCAGTTGGCTCCAAACAAAGCGTCATACTTTCTTTTAGAATACCCCATTTCGACTATGAAATTGGCAAATAAGAATCTAAACCAAATTTTCAAGGATGCTGGACTTGATTTGTCCGCCCTTACACCACATCGCAAAATTGAAATTATTTCGGTTTATTTAACATGGATACGTCTTCTTATGAATACCTGGCAGATGACCTCCTATTGTTTGGATGGAATTACTTTTATTTACCAAACCGTTCACTTGTGGATGGTGTATTGCACGGAAATGGTATTCATGTTTTGAGTAATTTTAATTTTGTGTGATTCGAACAAGCCGATCTTAATTACTGGAATAAATTTATGTTTAAATTTGAATGTATTTGAATTATTTTGGGTTTGACCTACATAAATCAAAACAAGTTAAACAAAATTGTATAAAAAGTTTAATAGATTAAAAAATTAAATCAACGCTTTCTGTTAATACAAAATTCGTATGTAGTATAGCGGAAAAGCTTCCGTAAATTTTCATTTCGCTGCACACTTTATCGGACCTTGCCAATGCCATTTTCCTTAGCGCTCTTGGCTGTGTGCTCTTTCTATTATAAATAACAAATCCCTAAATACACCACTCAAAATTCAATTAAAACTCTCGAAGCGCCGGCAGATTTCGTAAGCCCCACAGCCACAAATCCATAGGGGAGTTTGGTGTTGGGGATATGATGTTGTTGCCTGGGGGAGAATAACAAAAATCTTGCTTTCTGTTTCGACTCCCCCCCAAAAAACAGTTCACGAAGACAACAGCAATTTGGGTGCTTTGCATTTTTGTATTTTATTTTTTTCGGTGGCAAATATTTATTAACTGTTTTGAGAGGTGAAATGGCTGCCAATGCCAGGGCAATAAAAACTCGCCATCGGGCATCTTCGTCGTGGACCGGCACTTGGCATAAATTCAAACAATCATTTTCCCTGCTTATCGCCAGTAGACAGAGCTTATTGCCAATAAAAGAAATTAAAATGGAAACGACAAAATAAAACCAGGTCTAGTTTATCGAGGCGAAAGCTCAAACTTTGCTCATTTCTTATAGTCGACACGGGAAAAATTGGCAAACTGCAGTGCTTGGGAAAAGCGAAAAAGGAGCCTTCGGGTGAGTTTTCCAAAGCTATGTATTTCGGGTCCGACAGTTGCACATGTCTGCAGCGGCATACAAATGTCATTAGGGGAGGCCGCAAGCCAAAGAAAACTTGTGGTCCCAAATAGCGATGGAGTCGTGAGTCCTCGCAACTCCAAAAGGTAATGAATTATAAGGTATTCAAAATAATTTAGGAAGAGTTTCAAAAAAAAATGAGTATTTTAATTAATACATATTTGTAATTTATATTTTTAACTTTTTGGAATGAATGTAAATATTTTAAACCCAAAGAAGTAAGTGTTTTTTCCAGTATACCGTTTTTTTTTTACAGGTTTTTTTTTAGTTTCTAAAAATTTATGGTTTTTTTAGTTAGAGATTAAATTGGAAAACATTTCCATTGAGACTGCTTATATTAAACTTTTTAGTGTTGTACAGTTGTAAATAAGATTTCAAAGTAAGCGCTATAAAAGTTTTAGTAGACGCGAATTCTTTCACACTTTTAAATTTGTATAGATATTTATATATGTATATTATTTCTGTAATTAGAATTTATTCTCTTATTATTGGGTCAAAGTATTCTATGAGTTTCCTTACTACAGAATAATTTTTAGGGTAATTTAACGAGTTCGGTTGCTTAGAACCACATTGAATTTACGTTATTTCTTTGTTTACCACCAGATCCCATCCCTATATGTTTTTTTCTACAATCATAATAATTTTCTAAAAATCAGTAATAATTCTGTTCATATAGGGTCAAAATATCCTATGAGTTTCCTAACTACAGATTAATTTTTAGGGTAATTTAACGAGTTCGTTTGCTACAAACACATTGAATCTGAGTTATTCTTTTGTTTACCACCAGATCCCATCGCTAGCGATTGGTCTTTTCTGTTGGCCAGTTGGCGACGTTGTTTGAGCCATTGTGAGCAGCTGTTTCCCCTGCTGGTTTTTTGTGGGCCTGTTAAGTATGCAGTTTTTTCCCCCACAGGGGTCTTTCGGCCCCCCTCCCCCCAGATCACCCCTCGGTTCAGAGTGTGCGTGTTAAATGTGTGCGATTTGTCGTGGCAGCTCTTTAATGGCAAGTGGGTGGGCCGTTATGCTTATGGGTTTTGCATGGCGGCACGTGTGGGGCATGCAGATGGTCGACGGAGGGGGAGGAGGAGGGGGCTTGGTTGGTTTCCGGGGTCCGCTCATTCGGTCCCTGGCCACCGCAAAACTAAAATTGAACAAATTCCTGACAAATTGGAATTTGGTTTAGTTTTTTTTTATCCTCTACTTTCTCGGCCCTTTCTTGTGCCAGCGAAATTTGCTCACATTTTTCTTGTTTTCCTTTTTTTTCAGTTGTTTTTTTTGTGAGCAGCTCTCTGCTATTGTTTCTACAACATTGCCACACAAGATTTCGCCTCAAATATGCGAATGGCCATTATGATTATTTCTACATTGCCCGCTCGTCCTGTTGAAAAATGACACTTTACAACACTTGTAATTTGTTCAGTTTTCTGGGGAGTTTTTCGTCTGCGATGGTCAACACTTGATGGTTTTTCTTATGCGTTTTTGGGGTCACCAATAAGAGAGAGGGTCTGCAAATTGTAGGTGACAATGTGATTTGTTGCTTAAGTTGTTTGGAAATTTCAAACATAAAAGTTTGAAGTTGTCTATTGAAAACCCTTTAAAGAAACGGGTTTTTATTAAAAATTACACAAAAATAAATTATGCTTTCAAAATAACTTTAATACATTATGTATTGTAAATAAAGTCCTTCCATGTCAATAGTTACATCAAATTTGCAGACTTCTCTCTACAAAAAGGGAGGGGATCCATATAAATCAAAAACATAACATAACATTTATTTTTAAAAGGCGTCAATATTTTTCTTATTTAACTCATCACGTTAAAAATTTTATTGATAACTAAAAAATATTCAATTTAATTAGCTTTAGTTTTCCTAATAAACCAAATTATCGTTTAGAAAACAAGTACAACTTGATTACTAATAGAAGGGTCTGCAATCCAGGTGACCACAATTTAATCAGCGTGCAAACAATCGGTACTCATCGACCAAAAAACAAACCGCAAAACACAAAATGTTTATTATTTAGCATTCAAATGAAATGCATTATTTATAGATTTGGGATTACTGAAAGTCACTGGCGAAACACTCGAAAAGGAATAATTTGAATTACATACATCAAATGCATAAAATCAAAAGTGAGCCCAGTTTTAGCGGTTGTTCATGTGAAGCGCTTCCAAATGGGGTGGGAATATTGTTAAATTATTAAAATAAATGCAAATTGCATTCCAGTCAACCGAAATGTTATGAATTGACAAAATCCGAATTGAATTTAAACTCATTTGTTAGTAATTAGGGATAAAATGTATTTTTATAATTACCAAACTTTGAAATTTATTTAAACAAATTATATTATTTGGCAAGTGGTTTGCAGTTAATCAGCAGACCAAATTTGAAGTTAATAAATAACGCTGTTGTTATATAATCAATATTTTCCACTTGAAAGGTAAGCAGTTACAATGCCATCACAATAACAAATATCAATTACTATCAACTTGATATTCGTGGTGCAATGTTAATTTCAACATTTCTATCGCAGTCACGATTTAATCACTTTTGGACATCCACCTCTCTCGCTCCAAATGTGCTCACTGTTTAGCAATTAAAAAACTATATTTAGTTTTTCTTGACTGCTCAACTTTTCCAAGTCGATCAATAAACCTTAATGAAAAATAATGAAAAAGATAAAAAAAAAAATGTGAAAAAAGTCGGTGGAAAGTGTCGGATATAGATGGGGTATGAGGTATATATAGTATAAGCGGAGCAACACGTTGAGACCGTTATTATGAACAGAAACAGACAAGGGGCATTATTAAGTCACGTAGCATCGTGTGTAGCTGACATTTTCTTCAATTATCGTACTTATAGTTTCCTTTCGCGTTTTGTTGACTACTTTTCCTACTTTTCGACTCGACTTTTCCCCAGCACCCTACTCCTCTTTTTTTACGTCTTCTGGGTTAAATGAATTGTGGCTTAAATACGTGGTTTGGTCAACTGGATGACTTTGCTGATGACGGGGCTTTTGCCAAATTGGAGGTCATTGTTTGAAGTACTCTTAGATTTTCTATACTTCGCTACCTTCTATTTTTACTTTAAGAACAATTTTTATATTCATCAGTCATTACCCCAATAATATTTTGTATTAAGCTTAAAATATAATTATTTATTTCTAAAAATGTTGAGCATACAGTTTTTATATGTCTAAATTATTCACTGATAATGAAATGAGCCAATAATGCCTATTGATAGATTTTCTATAAAATCTTATTTTGCGACTCTTGAAATGTTTGATATTATATAAATAAATGAAATACAACTTTTTAACTAATACACCTATAAACGAATCCAAGTTCAAGTTGAAGAATATGGTATATTTCAAAGCGATTGCCGATTGACCATTAAAAATTTGAACACGCACGGGTTATAAAACAAATAAACCATCTACCCCAAATCAGATTTCATGGATATTTTAGTCAGTGAGCGTTGTTTGCGTTGCGAGTGCGGATCGTCAGCGGATTGGATGTAAAAAGTGAAACTTGTGGCTGTTGAAAAGCAATCTGAAAAATAACATAAAACACACACATTGGAAAGTTCCTTCAAAATTCAAAGCCCGAAATGTTGTTCCTCACCGCCCGAGTGGAGCACACGGCGGAGCAGATCTTCAAGATCAAGCAACTGAGGCAGCTGGTGGAGAGTAAGCAAAAAGTGGTATTAGGACCATTGTGGAACTCAGTGGGTATTGTTTTCCAGGGTGCGAGGACCTTCAGGTGGGCACGGAGGACACGCTGCTGACCAAGTTCCTGCACTACACGCGCTGGGACACGATCAAGGCCTACCAGGCGATCCACGCCTACTATGACTTCAAGAGGCGCCATCCCACCTGGGTGGCCCGCCATCCCATCGAGCACTACCGGGAGCTCTTCTTTGGGACGCACTGCCGCTACCTAATGCCCCAGGTGGACCGCCATGGGAGGGTTCTGGTGGTCTTCAAGACGGTGGACGGGTTCCAGGACTATCCGGATTACCTGCAGAGCCTCGTCGAGATGGACGACCTGATCTTCGAGTCACTGCTGCTGCTGCCACGCGTCCAGGAGAACGGCATCACGGTCATTTGTGACCTCCAAGGGTGGGTTAAATGCTGTTCCCAAAGTTTCACTCTTTTTGAAATGAGTTTTGGACTCCAATTCGCAAGATACAGTACTCCGGTATTTCTTAATAGCCAGTTCTTTTTTAGCCAGTAGTTTCCATATTTGTTAATTTGGTTTTAAAGGTCAGATTTAACAAGACCACAAAATCTCTAAAAACCTTCTAAATATTTGCTGAAAAAAAGGTTTGCTTAACCGAATCAATTTTTGTTTTTATAAATTTCAAAATTGATAAGTCTGTGATATACAAACGAACACCAACATGCCCCACATTTTAATTGTGATATTTTTTTTTAACATGGTTTAAATACCTTATATTTTTTATAGCAAATAATGTTATAATTTCTTTAAAAAAAATGTTCAAATATTAAATAACTTCAAATAATTTCGTTCTTTAGTAGATTGAGCAAATTGCATTTTTTAAATAGTTATTGTTTTAGAAAGTCTTTAAAAATTATATTAATTGTGTTCGATTTATAAATACTTTATTAAACAAATTATTTATTAAAATAATATTTAAAGATTGGCTAAAAATATATATTTTCCTAGATCAATTACATTTAATTGAAAAGTATTTTATTTTATTATTTGGATTTGGTCGATGGGAAGGTTATGCTTTTAAGTATTTATTTACTAGTATCAAAATATTTATATTATTTATATTTTACCCTTTGTAATTTTTCCGCAGGACAACGCGGAACTTTTTGCGACAGTTTTCGCCAGCCTTTATGAAATTGGTGAACGAAAAGAACGGAGTCCTGCCTTTCAGCCAGCGAATCGTGCATATTATCCAGCGCGGCTTTCTTATGCACGTGACCTCCACACTCTTTATGCCCTTCATGAGCAAGGAATTCAAGGAAAGGGTAAGAATATTAGTGTTAATATGAAATAAATAAATTCCAATCGCTTTATTTTGAAGATCTTCACCCACGATGGACGGCATCTCAGCAAGCTGCGTGAAATGATTGGCTATGAAAGTCTGCCCGCGGATTATGGCGGTCCTCCCACGAATGTCCTGGATACGAATTTGATTTTCAATCATTTAAGCCAAAACGCGGAGTATTTGGAAAAGCTGCAGACTTACGGGAAGCTATAGGAAAATACATAAGAATATTGTTAGCTATTTAATCTGTTGAAAATCAACCAAATATATAACAAATTTATTAAAGAAAATGGGGTATCTGTAAAAGCAATAGGGAAGCCTTAGGAAAATGTAATATAATGTGTTTAGATTTTTATCAGAAATTTATCAATATAACTTAATTTTAAAACGAAATATTTAGTTTCTTCTCTTTCAAAAAGTAACGGTTGACTGTGTTTAAGTTGGCAACGCGGTGTTTAAAACTATTAAAGGCGCAAAATTATTTTCGACTGACCGAACAATCGGTTGGGATTTTTCTGTTATCGCATAAACGGTCCTACAGTTGTGAAATTTCTGCGCCGGCAATTCAAATTTCTGCAATTTGCAACATATTTCTGTAAATAAACATTTTAAATGGCTTCTAACAAGGTTGGTTTGCGATTTATTGAATATTATACAAACTAAGCTGTATTTTTCGCCAAGGAATGCCTCATAATTGTGCTGGATGTGCGCACTTGTGCCGCCGAAGAAGTCAAACTCAAAGCCGCAAAATGTGTGGCGGAGATTCTCAAGGACAAGGTTGATAATTTACCCTTAAAAAAGATTCAAAATGGTGCTAATTTAATCACCCCCAGATCGTGTGCGATAAGAAGGATTATGTGTCTTTTGTCCTAGTGGGATGCGACAGCAATAAAGACGATAATAGGGGCAAAAACGAGAATCACAAAGCCTATCCAAATGTGGTGCGATTTGGAGACCCACAACTGTGCAATTGGAAGCTCTTACTGGACTTCTTTGCGTTTGTCAACAAAACCGCTTGCGAGGAGGGACAATGGTTGGATGGTTTGCAGGCGGCCATGGAACTGCAGGACACTGCTGTGTCGTAAGTGGATCAAGTTAACACCAGACTCTTGAAATTTATAGAGTTTCCATTACAGTTTTAAGACAGCGAGGCAAAGGATTCTCCTCCTCTTCGATTTCAATGACTTTCCGCAGGACTACGAGATGTTCAACGAAATCACGGACGATTTGCTCAACAAGAACATCAATTTAATTGTGGGGTGAGCAATAAATTTGTAATTAGTTCCGGAGTATAATTTGGTATAAAACGAAGCTGCAAATAACTTGCACTATACATTTAAATTCTTCAAATATTCTCTTTAAGTAAAGTATTTATTTATCATATTCATCTCCATGTTTATTTACCCCTCAGCACCCACAACATAGCCTACATAGACAATGCCGAGACCGATCAACCGCAGGCCATTTTCAACTTCTCCCGAAAGTGCGGCTCCGTGGCGCTGGAGAACCAGAAGCACGTTCTCAGCCTCGTTCCCCGCTGCAATGCTACGCTGTGCAGCTTCAAGGAGGCCCTGCTCACAGTCTTCAAGGTGACCAATCGACGGCCGTGGGTGTGGAACGCCAAGCTGCACATCGGCAGCAAGATCTCCATTAGCCTGCAGGGCATGATCGCAATGAAGAACCAGACGCCGGTCAAGTTGGTCAAGGTCTGGGCGGAGGACGATGAGACGGTGACCCGCGAGATACGGCACTTCATTAAGGGCACCGAGGTGACACCGCTGCCGGAGGATTTGATGGCTGGCTACATGCTGGGCGGCACTCCGGTGCCCTACGATGACACCCTGCTGGAGCCAAAAGAACCGCATCCGCCTGGCCTGCATTTCTTCGGGTTCATCAAGCGAAATGCGGTGCCGGATGAGTACTTTTGTGGCGATTCCTTGTACCTTCTGGCGCACCAGAAGGGCAACAAAGCCGCCGGCGTCAAACTGGACGCCCTTGTGCGTGCCCTGCTCTCTTCGGATCAGGCCATCCTCTGCTGGAAGATCTTCAGCGCCAAGTTTAATAGGCCCAATATGGTGGTGCTTCTACCCCGACTAGCAGACGATAACCATCCGGCCACTTTGTACATGTTAGAGGTGTCCTACACGGCCCAGCACCATTTCTGGGACTTTCCCGCCCTGCGGACCACCAAGACGCAGTGCAGCGAGGACCAGCTGGACGCCATTGACCAGCTAATCGACAGCACCGACCTGGAATGCAGTTTGCGGGACACGCAACAACCGCGTCCGTGGTCCCAAAACGATCTGCTGCCCTTCGACGGACTGCCTAGCATATTTGAGCAAAACGTGATGGACGTCCTGGAGCGAAAGGTTATCAAGGATAACGATCGCGATGATAAAGTGCTCAAGGACAAGAAATTCGCGGATGTCTTTTGGCGTGTGCCGGAACCTCTGGAGGAGAAGTCCAAAAGGGCGGCGGTCGGTGTTAAGAAGCTCTTTCCACTGCGCTTCAGTCGCGCCTGGCAGGAAAAGCAGCTTGCCAAGGAGCAGGCGGAAAATGGGGTGCAGGTCAAGCAGGAGCCGCCGGAGAAGGAGATCCCCTTGCCGTCGGACGGCGTGGGTCTGACCAATCCCGGTGCAGATTTTACTCGCATCTTGGCTAGCGTTAGCTCCATCACAAATGCCACCCAGCGAGATGCCCGCTTTCAGGCGCTGGCTGCCGATACTCGCGTGGTTATTCTCACCCTAATGGAGCGCAAAAAACTGAACCTGAATGAGCTGGGCGAGATTATCAAACTGTACCGGCAGAGCTGCTTGGACTTCAATGCCTTCCTGGAGTACGACAAGTTCGCAGAGGAGATAAAGAAGGTCGCGGTGGCAAAGAATCACAGTGGATTTTGGCAGGACGTCATGGTGGACAAACAATTAGGGCCTTTGGTCTTGGGTGAACCCACCCTGGACGACGAATTGGCCCTGAAAGCCTACTATACGGTCGAAAATTGGGAACAGGAGGAAGAAATGGAGAACTAAACTTTTTTTTATATTAAGCTAAGTTGTTATCTTTCGCCATTTGTATATTCATTCCATACTTTTGATTGGAAACAAAATGTTTATTAAATTTATTTATCATGTAAATGGTACTTACTTTTTATTCGGAATCAGATTCACATATATATTTTTTTAAAGTATTTTGTTATATTAAATTCTGCTAAGGCAAGTGAATACTTAAATAGAATTGGGAAAAAATGTATTACTCATTAAATAATTTAAATTCATCCAACAGGTTAGACTTGGTTTTTGAATAATCAATAAGAAATGGAAGAAAGGTTTTATTTTTACCAAATTCGAATTGTCATACATACTTATCGTGTGAGTAATTGTTATAAAAACTTTAACACCATTACGCAAGCTAAAATAATATGTTCTGAATTATTTTGATAGGGTTGATTTAAATATGCAAAAAAAATCAGTTCAAATTTGAAATTTAAACACACCACACCAGTAAAACAATCGATGGTTGGATGAAAATGATCGATTTCTGTGGCTATCGAATGTCGAATGTGTCAGATTGAAAGGTCACTCTATCAATCAGCTGGGCCGTCGGCATTTTTAAAATAGCGTAGCATTTAATTTAGAATTCCTGTTGTGTATTGTTCTAAACCGATTAGCTTGCTCTTGAGGATTGACAATGGGCATGCCCACGACGGATTGGCTTTATTGGTGTCGCCTTTGCGCCCGCGACGATGCCGTTATCAAAGTGCGCCCGCGGGACGAAGATCTGGTGAGGATCATCAGCAAATGCTTCGATGTGGAGGTGGGTAATCCGATTCCCTGCTATCAGGACTTGTGATATTCAGTTTCCGCAAACCCTAGATGACCCTCGAGGAGCCGGAGCTTGGGAGCATGCTGTGCGAGGAGTGCTACACTGTGATTGGCCAACTACTCACCTTCTCGGAGAGCATTAGCAAGGTCCAGGCCATTTTCGAGATCCTGCGTCACTCCGAGCCGCAAGATACCCAGGATGTGGACGCCCTGCGGCGGGAGTATGACCTTCCGCCCACCTGCAAGCAGGAACTAGAATTTCTGGAGATAGATGAACTGGAGGACAAGTGTTCTTTGATCGAGGACCTGAATATGCTTGACCATTCCACTGCTCCTTCACCTGATTTCCAAACAAAGGTCAGTCCCAAACGATCGAGCTCCATAAAGCGGAAATTCCAGCTTGAAGAGCTATATGCATCGGACCATTCCACTGCTTCATCACCAGATGTCAAAACGAAACGCGGACGCAAGCGCACGAGATCCATTGAGTATGAGGTGGTTGTCCAGGCGGAAGATGAGGAGCTCGACCTAGCCGAAGACGACACCACGGCCCTGCAGCCTGAGAAAAGGAAGCGCGGACGGCCAAGGGGTCCAAGCAAGCCAAAGGACGATAGCCAGAGAAAATCTTCTTACCAACCGGAATCCAATGTTAAAACCAAGCCACACAAGCAGAGTTCTAGTGTCGACGACTTCACCTGCAAGGCATGCAACGAGTCCTTTATGTCCTTCATGGCGCTGCGCAGGCACAAGCATGACATGCACGGCGATCCCAAGCGATTCGTTTGCGACTGCTGCGGAAAAGGCTTGAAGACCTTCACTTCGCTGGTGGAGCACCAACTGGTCCACACGGATGAGAAGCCCTGTGTCTGTCCCGTATGCAATGCGGCTTTTAAGAACAAGGCCAGACTACGGGTGAGTGAAAGGAAATATGACAAACTAACTCCTGTAATTTGTATAACAATTTCCAGGTGCACAGCCAGACTCATGGAGAGCCAAAGTTTGAATGCGACATTTGCGGGAAGAAGCTGCAGACCCGAGCTATTCTCAATAAGCACAAGTATGTACACATCGAGGAGCGGCGCTTTAAGTGCGAGGTTTGCGGCAGCGGGTGCAAGAACTCCACGGCCTTGAAAATCCACCTTCTGGGACATACGGGTCTCAGGCCTTATGTGTGCAAGTACTGTGGAAAGGCGTTCGCCAGCAACACCAATTGCCGCTCGCACAAGTGGAAGAAGCATCCGGAACAAGCGGCCAAGGAGAATGAAAGCGAATCCTCGCGAGTTCCTGTTCCTACTTTGGAGGAACTACGCGCCATGTAAGTTATTATACCTGTTGATTTCATATGGTTTTTAGCAACTGTTTGGTTTCCAAGTAGACAATACGTTGTAGTAGTAAAAACCAAATTTATATTATTTACAAACATCTCAGATATTTCTATATTACTAAATATTTTCTTTAATTTTTTTCGCTAGAACCCGCGAGATGGCTAAAACCGCCAGCAAGGAATCATAAAGCATGCTCATTCAGATGATTTACACTATAAGTTACATTTTCCTTTTAAACTTTTAAATATACAAATATATGTTATATAAATATATAAATTTTGTAAAAATAAAAAACTACTTTATAAGTCGTGTTTTGGTATACATTCGTTATAGGTTTTAAAGTACATAGTTTAATCGCCCCTTTTTTTTTTCTTAATGTCCAATAAAAAACCCTTTTCATTTCAGTTTTCCAAATAGGTTTTGTTTTTATTAATTTCAAAATACATTTACACTTTAAACGCACACTAGAATTGGGGAATGAATGATCAATTATTTTTGCATCGATTTGGTGATAAATTAGTGAGCAAGTTCAAGAAAAAAAGTATTAAATAATAAAGAATGTAACAAGAGAATGTATAAGGAATATTAAAAAAAAATGTACAAATTAAGCAATGAGTGAGTGGGTCCGTGTGGGATTATTAATTAAATACGTTTTGATTTCGATGGTTTTGTATAATTATTTGTTATTTAATTTAACACGTTGAGAAGCAAAATCTTTTGGCATGGCCTTCCTCCCGAGCAGAACAGAGAGTCAATAAATAGTGCATCCATATTAGCTGTCTCTTTATCCTTTCCTCCCTCAAAGATCCTAGTCAATGTTTAGCGAGGACATTAGCTCCTCGACGCTGCATGGGAATAGAGAAAAAACAGGGATTTTTTATTAATCAGGGAATATCGGGAGACATCTGTCAGTTAGGCACGAATGTTTACACTGGCACGCACGTGATATCTATGTCCTGGAAGGTCACGCCCAGCCAGGCAACCACCAGGCAGTAGTGCTGGAACAGCTGCAGCAGCAGTTCGCCCTCGTCCAGCATCTCCAGTCGCTCGATGCGCTGCCTTTCCGCCGCCGAGATGCTCTCGTACACCTGCACCATGTCCCAGGCGCGTGCCCCTGTCCATCCGCTGTCCTTGAAGCGATTCCGTTGCGTCTCCAGCGACAGACAGGATTCCACCCCAGCCAGGCTGCAGCCGCGTCCGCGCAGGTTGTTGAGCATCACATCGCCAAAGCGGTCGTTCATATTCACCTGCAAAATATTAGGTTTTTTAATCTATTTTCAACATATAGCAAATATACAAAAATCTATATTTTCTTATCTATAAATTCCGATTTTTTTGTTTTTCATAATGAAAAGGTTTAAGTAAGGCTAACCTTTTGATTTAATTTAATTTAAAAGTTGATCTTTATTATATTCGGTCATATCAAAGATATCCAGCCAAATCCAATTTTAATTTTGAAATTCATCATATTTATAATTAAGCAAGTAATTTAAATAGGTATTTTACCTATATAAATATTTTGCAATATACCAAAGTATATATATTAATGGAATGTGAATTCATTTTAATAATTAAATAGGTGAAAGAGGTTTCTAAATACTTTGCGTAATTGTTTAAGTGTTCAATTTATTAGATAAGCGGACCCTAAAACAACCAAGGACTGCTAACCTGCTCGTAGTTGACGAAGACGGCGGCCTGGAACTTTTGCGCGATCCATTTCAGCAGATTGCGACAGTTCTGCGCCTCGATATAGACGAGCACGCACTCGGCGAGGAAGATGGTGGGCAGGGAGTAGTCGACTTCCGCCTGCTGCAGCTTGCTGTCCACCTCGTCGAGGTTGCGCAGGTCGACGCCCATTAGGTGATAGCTGGGCCCGTGCAGATCCGTGGGACTTAGCCGCACTTCGCCGTCCTCGTCGTGAATCCTGGCCAGCAGGGCCTTGTTCCGCTTAATTGTGTAGCACTTGCGGGCGGTCACAGTGGGGAAGTCCAGCTCGATGAAGTTCTTCACCTGGTGGGCGGTGTCCCTCAGCCGGAAGTAGAGTGTGTCGAAGCCGCAGCCCAAATTGATGATCTGGCAGTTGCCCGAGGTTTTCTGTGGGGGCGATGGTGATGAGGGGTAAAAGCGGTTAGGACAAGGTCATCCTGACCAGGACATGCGCATGGCGGGCCATGGCCTTGCAGGGCCATGCAACAGGATGACCTTGGCACGTGCCAGACAGTTGGGAGCCACCACCACTGACCTTCAGAAACTTCTCGACGCACATCTCCACGCCCTTGACCCGGGCGAAGTAGCCGCGGTTGATCTCCGGCGCCTTGCGCTCCTGGTTGCGCACAAAGTACCCGATGTAGTCGTCCTTCCAGTAGCCCAACCGGACCGCACACCGCTTGCAGTCGCTGGCATCGTCGTTGGTGGCTATCACCGCCTCATCGCACGGATGGAACTTGTGCGTCGAGCCGGCGGACGCGATTCCGCCCGGCGATGGCGGCTCCATGACTCTCCGGCGGATTTGCTCGGCTGTTTCCCGTTTGAGTTTTATTTACAATCGGTTCTTGCGGTGCAATGGAGCCCCAGAATCCCTCAATCCTTGACTTCCTCTGTTTTTCTTCTGGAGTTTTTTCTCGACCGAAAACAGCTGCAGGTGTCGATAGTCGATAACAGTGTGCAGTGTTGGCTAGCGCTTGAGGCGAATCTGATTGAAAGCGGACCGAATGCCCGGCGGTCGATGGATTGGCGCGTTCATTTGAATTTGGCATTTTGTAATGGTTATAATAGTTTGTTCTTTTATTTTGCTGTAATCAGGGGATAAGCCACTTAAACTTATGTTACTTTGAAATACATCAAAGAAAAATGTTGTAAACATTGTGAATTTACAGATTAAGAATAATCTTGAGAACAGATTGGTTTTTAAACAATTTTAATGTTTATAATTTTGTATTAAGTTTAGTATCATATTAACATATTAATTAAAAAGTTTAAGGTAAATGGAATACATGTTCTAGAATTAAAAATGATTTTTTAAATCTTTATAGAATTTTTTATTTTTATACATTAACGCTAGACGGACTTACTTTAACGAGTCATCGTAGGATTATTGATAAGAATCAACTTTGTTGGAAACGACACAAACTAATAAATTGAAGTTTTTATTTATTTATTATTTTTTATTTATATTATTTTAGTCTTAGTTTTAAAACAGCATTGAATGTCGTCAATACAAAAAGTGTATATACAAAGGTACTTCAAATAATTTACCTAAGAGGGTCATTTTTGGAAACCCAATATTATAAATTATTAAGAACAATTTGCTTTGTTTTTTGTCAGCCTGGAGTTTGTGGACCGAATATCCAAATTTAAATATATTTAATAAAATATAAATATAAAATATTTAATTAATAGATTTCGTAGCTGTTATCTTAAGCCTTTCTCGTAACCTTCTTGCTGCTTATTTGGTATCTTTCGCTCCTAAGTAGATAACTGCAGTTTTCTTTAGCCTAATTGGCTTAAGCACTTCATTAATAAAGAAAGGGTCAACATTGTAAACAAAGCGTGTCCATGTTCAAGTGCTTTAATTGCTTCCCGCATCTTTGACATCGGAAGCTCCGCTGACGATGTCTTGGGCTATAATTAAAATTAACATTACGCCCAACAACCCGCTCAATAAGTCGGGGTCAAAATGTGAACTGATCGCCAGTTGCCTTTGCTCCGCGGTGCGGGGCTCAACGCGTGAATCACGACCCATCCAGCCGTAGTCTGGCCTGCGTCCTATATAGTAGAATTCAATTAGAAATTATGCAAAATTGTATTCCGTTTTGTCATGCAAAGATAACTCATTACTACGTTATTCACAGCGGATGCCGATTTTCGGTTTTCTTTGAAAGACGAGATAAAAATTTATTGGGGAAATATGACAAATTCCCATCTTAATGATATATAATCAGATTAAGATTAAGTCAATTAGAAATTGATTAAACGTTTGTAATTAGATTCAAATTAGGCATAGTAGCTGCAATAACATTTAAATGATGTATTATTGGTACACTCATGAAATAAAAACATAAATTCTTTTCTTGTTTTAAGTAAAAGTATGCTTGAAAGGGATTTAAGTTAATAATGAAGTAATATAATAAAGTTTAGTAAATACATGTTTCTGTAATTTAACATTAGCTTTCTGATGATCAAAAGACACAAAAGCTTTTTATATAATATATCATTTTTAGATGACAAAATTTTCCTTATATTATAGTAATTAATATGTAGTTTTTAATAAAAAATAAATATTTTAAAATGTGGTTCTTAAAACAAACTGAAACTGTGTTAAATTCTACATAATGATATGTAAAGTAATGTTCTTTTTCGAGCCCCTCGGCGAAGGCGCTGGTTGATCTTTTGCCCTCGCTTCACCCCTGTCGGCCCGCCCCCACCCAAGCACCCACGCCAAGTAACGCTCCCGCTCAGCTGACTGTCTCCTGCTCTGCCTCTCTCCCTCTCTCCATCTCTCACTCTCTCCGTTGGCCAAGCTCGAGTTTGGTTACTGCATCAGTTCGGTTTCAGCGTTCGCGAGCGTCGGTTGTTCTTGGTCGTCGCGCTGCTGCATTCACTTTTGCACAGGTGAGAGTGAGTGGGAGAGTAAGAGGGAGAGGGGAATTGGAGCTGGAGAGCGTTTAAAGCTGCGCGCGCCCAATACATCGAGAGAGTCGTTTGGGCCAGGTGTATCTGTGTGAACTGTTGTTGGTAACAGCCGGCACCTGGGTGTGAGTGTTAACTGAGTGGCGTGCTGTAGTGTGCGTGAGACTTACCTGGTTTACCTGAGTCTGTGACTCAAAAACGGTCATTTCAGTTGCGTTACGTTTTTTTCTCGTTTTCAGTCGGTTTTTGGTTAGTGCTGAATGTTTTATTTTGTTACCTTTTCGGGGCGTTGGCCAAGAAAGTTATTGTGAGTGAAAAAAACTGTATTGAAATGAAAGAAAATGCGAATGGTAATGATTGGAAAATCGCGATTAGATAGTGAAATGGTGGCTAGAAGCCGCAACAAGTTGCCACGGAAACGTCATCAATTGGAGCATAACTGTAAAAACAATGAGATTAAAACACACAGAAAGAAATTTGTTCTACCAACTTCCGTGTTTAAAACAACAAGAGTGAAATGATTAAAAACATTATGAAGAAAGCAAAAAAAAATTTGTTGATATTGCTTATTTATTTCTTAATAATGTTTGGCGTTAACAATATCCACAAAATCAAAAAAGAATTCACGCTATATTATTGAATCTTAAAAAACACACTCGAATGTACCTGTTGCAGCCACAGAATTTAAGATATTCAAATATTATTTACTAAATTAATACTAAATATTACGAACAAATGAAAAATGTGGTTCTGAATTGATTTTTATTTTTGTAAGCCATTTAAAGAGATTTTAAACTGGCCTCTGAAGATCCAAAATAGATTGACTTTTTTTCTGTGCAGCAGTAGCAACAACACCTGTGTGGTGTAGGCCAACACACAGATACACACAATCATAGAGATACGCACACACATACAGGCGCACCTGCGCTTCACTTTCAGCGTTATCGTTGCGTTTTATTGTTTGCTTTGGTGATTGCGAAAAAAGCAAAACTTCTACAAGTGATTCATCAACAAACCAATAACAACAAAATGCTAACAAAATTTCGAAACGAAACTTGATATAAAAATTCCCAGCCATTCCCTGTCTTGTTAAATAAACCATAGCTTGGCATATTTTTTGTGCTGGCGTTTGCACTTCCGTAATTTTAATAGGAACCCTTCGAGGGTTGAGAAATCGAATAGCCCGGGTAACTTGAGGCCCTAACAAGCAGGTTAATGCACCCGTATTTATGTGAGTCCTTGTGCCACTTTCAATACAGCCACAGTCAAATCTATAGCATCAACGAGACCTTGATCTTAGGTTTACATGTAAATGGGATAGACGATAATAATATTTTCGTAATGAACTATTTTTTTCGTAACACTATTATAAATACTCTTTCAAGGTTTGAATAGATATATTTAACAGATTACGAAATTTTTTTGGTTTTTCTAAGAGAGTAAAAACTAATACTAATCTGTCTATAATGCTCATAAAAACAACAAACTCCGATCTATTTAAAGTAACAGAAAATATAAAATGAGTATTTTTGGGAGTGCAGAGAACATCTCGAATATTTTGATCTATTATTTTGACCGAAACTGTAAACCTGAATGCATATATGCACCAGGGTAACGACAATAATGTTGCATCGATACGACTGAGTTGCCAAACAAATGCCAAGAGCGAAATTCAAATCAAACCGTCTTTGGAATAGCCAGGTGCCTTTGTTTCTCACTTTACCTTTCATTGCATTTTCACACGTATTTAAGGGGATGCAAGTGGCCGGAAATACCTGTCAAATGAATATTATTAAGTTAATTTTCACCTATTACTTATCGCTTTTTATCAGTAGGGTTTCTATGACTAGAATATACACACAAATATGTATACAATTGCCAATTTTAAATCTACCTTTTCATAGTTCTCCGCCCTTTTTCAAGCAATATTATTTGGATTATTTGTTAATAAACGATTTAAATAATTCATAATTTATAATTTTTCAACAAGAGTCACTAACTTCTTATAAAAAATGGAAAACATGTAACAACCGATACCCAATTTTAGTTTTTTAATAACGTATTTTTATATCTATTAAAAAAATAAAATCAATTAGTTACAAATTTTATTACATTTTACTTGCTAGTTTGTTGGCTTACACAACCTGCAACATACCTTTTCCCCAGTTTAAACCAATTTAAACCGATGACCTTTCTTCATTATCGGTGCAATTAACCCATTGACGCCGATCTCGGCACACCAGACAAAGCACGTAACCGTCAGAGTAAGGGGTCTCTCCATTCGAGCAACTCCCCGTCACATTGCCTTCACTTTGGAGTCACACTTTATGCTGTAACTTATTTTTAGCGCATTTTTTCGAGTCAGTTTTCAAACGGGTTTGTCGGTCTCTCGGCATCTTCTAATGCCAAATTGAGCCAACAACGTAATGGAAAACCAGTTTGGTCACTCTTACTCGAAGCTTGGATCGAAATTTGTTTTTATTCTGTTTGTTTATACTTTTATGGAGTTGGGGTTTTGTTTTTTTGGGCGATCATAAATGTGAGTGCTCCCAAATATATTTTTCTGATATCTCAAAATTGTGTTGAGAAATAACAGATTTCAAGTGTGCATTTCTTTTTATTTTTTTTATCGGGCTTAAGTAACTTTTTCCTAAAAGCCTGATAAAAAGAACAGTTTTTTGGAAGTTGTGGCAAATTTCAAATTATTAAAGTGCTAAAGTTGTTGCTTTCATAATTGTTTGTCAGACAATCCATTTGGGAAAACATGTTATTTGAATCTTATCTTATTTAAAATCACATTTATTTTGTAACTTTAAAAACTATTTAATCTGTATTTTTTTTCCAGATCACCATGATGCACAAATTAAAATATCGCGATAAATTAAAATGGTTTCTAGCCCTTCCCCTGCTGATTTGCACCTGTTTTACACAAACGCAGGCACAGACAAGAGATCCACGGTTTTATTCGCGACCAGGCGTTGACTATCATTGGCCAAATCCAGGCGATCCAGATTACAGG